CCCCCCCCCCGCCTCCCCCCTTGCACATTTTTTGCATATCCTATTGTTTTTTTACCGGAGGTGGTGATATATAGCGTGAAGTAGCAACCTTCACACCTTGGCGGCGCTCTCGCCAGACCCTGAACGGTTACATCCCCGCTCCCTTCACTATAGCTCAAGTCCTCCTGGGCCTCTTCCAACCCCAACTTGGGGAATACCACGAGAAGAATCATGCGGACTTGGATGGTTCAGCTGTTGGGTCTTCACCAAAATTTATTGAGCACCACCAGAACCACAGACACGTTGTCCTGGGTGTACCGCTCGTTGATCGCCCTGCGCACTAGCGTCTCGCACACGCGCTGGGTGTCACCGTGCATGCGCAGCTCTTTCCGCACGATCCTGACCACCTGCAACGAGCGCAGAAGCAACAAACCATTCGGTTCGTTGACTCATGGAGGACGCCGCGAGACAATGTACAAGCGTCGTTCGTACGCTGTCCACCTTCCAGGTCCAGTGAAGAACACAGAAGGTACTACCACACACCTTCGAGACGGGGACCAATCAACCAATCCCCTGCTACTCCGGAACGGCGACGATCACAAGGAAGGCTAATCTCAAGTCGACCACGTTCTGTTTGCAAGTGGGCAAGCTGGCTGGAGGTATTCTAGATCACGAGACCAGTGTTTGCCTCATGTCGAGTCGAAACGACCTTCAACCCCCCGTCAAACAAGGACCCCCACCAAGCATGACCCCACCTCCCGCGGAGTACCGAAATAAAAAAACAGATGACGTGGTCGCGTCTCCGGGAAAAACTGCAGAGGCGGTGGAGCGCATCCCCGTACCACGTGAAGAAAACAAACAAAATAATACTATCGTGCCTCCGGAAAAAGCGTGCGGGACAACGCGAGGTAGCTAGCGCACCCCGATCTCGCCAGGGGCCTGCCCGGACCAACCACACCCACACCCACACATACCTCGTCGCTGGTGAACACATCGAACAGCCCGTCGCACGCCAGGAGTACGAACTCGTCCTCCGGCGTGATGCGGCACGACAGCATCTCCGGCTCCGCGGTGATGAGAGCCCCCGTGGGGTCCGTCACGGGCTTGGCCCTGCTCACGCCGGCGGTCGCGGCCGGCGGCGCCGGCGGGGGCGGGGGCGGCACAGACGGTGGCGCGGTGGGCACGGCAGGGGGGGCCACCACCGGCGGCGGCGGCGGCGGCGGCAGTAGCTGGCCGCTGGAGGACCCCCTCC